TTCTGAGCATGAGACTCTTGTTGCACAAATGAAAAGAGAAGCAGCTCAAGCTCATGCAGATGTGCTCCAGGCAATGGGCATGTTACCAAAGAGTATGTTTTGGATCTCGAAGTAGTAGACTTCAAGCAATTATTTGAAAAATGTGCATGCCCCCCCTCCCCTTTCCCCTCTTTCTCTCAACATGCAACGTAGCAAACTTGGACAGGGAATAATTATTGTGTATACAAGGGATATGTTGCATTGAATCTATACCTTACCTTTTTTCTGAGTTTTGAAATCAGAATCATTAGTATTTTAAGTGCCATTGGTGAAAAGCTATATATCTGAAAAGTTTTAGAAATGGTTAAAAAATGGCATTCGAACTTGCTAATATGTGCTAGAAGTCTCTGTTATACATAAATAGAAGATGTTACCTTCATCTTTAACTTTTAAGTAGTTGGACTGGTTAAAATTAATAGTAGAGTTAAAGTATAGGAGTTAAAAGTGAGCAATCGGTTGACTCGGTTAGAAAATCCCATTAACTGAATCGACTTTCATATCATATTAACTGAATTGACTGGTTTTTTCCCATTAACTAGTTTAACCAATTAACTGACTTAAGTTGATTAATTCAGTTTTAACTGACTTAATTGAATTTTTTTTTAACTTTTAATTCATTTAATAGTTAATCTTGTAATAGCACGAAAATATAAAATAAATAGAATGTAATCATTCATCAATATAAGATAAATTTTATGTAATCAAGAGTAATAAAAGAGCAAGAAAAAGAAATTGTATACTTGCTACCTGCTCTGTTGGCCTTTACATGGAATCCAGATGAAATTAGGCATATATTTAGCATTCATGAACAAGGAGGAGTGAAATAATCCAAATCTATCACAAAGAAAAGAATCGCTCCATTGGATTTATGAAAATAAATTAATTTATCAACCTAACTATTCAACATAGTAAATTGAATAATACTGATTAATAGATGTTTATAAACATTAACCTAAACTAAGAGAGCAAATTTTTGTATTTAATATATTATTTTATCAAACTTAAGAGAAAATATTATATTAATTACAATCTCATTAACCGACAACAATGTCCATCGAATAATTTTTTTAATATAATTTTAATATTTTATAAAGTAAAATAGTGGAATGGTTTCATTACTTACAAAATTAATGTTTATATTTGTAACATATTCATGCTATTTGTTAAGAGTTAGTGTATCTAAATCTTGGACGAAATAACATTATTCTTTAGAAAATATGGATGTGTAATGTATTTAGTTTGATTTGATATATATCAACAAGGAATTCTATAAAATTGTTAAAAAAGATAATATTTATGAATATTGAATTATGGGGTTTGATTTTGTTGATTTGAGTCATGAATCATAATTTCCGTGTGAGTGGTTTACATGCAAGAAAACCCTTTATTGGCTATTTGTATTTGAAGCTTAAAACGCCATTAGAGCTGTAGGTTACATCTTACATGTGAGTGGTGTGTAAGTGGTTTACATGCAAGAAAACTTCTCATAGGCTGTAGAAATAGGGAGTCTAAAGCCGATTAATTCAGTTAATTGATCTCAAATTTTTTTAACCTAACTGCCCCAATTTAACTTATTTTTTAACTGACTTAACCATTTTAACTGAATTAACAGAACCAAATTAATTGATTTTTGTCAGTTAAGTTGGTTAAGTTGGTTTTAACCGACTTTTGCACACCCCTATTAGGAGTTTTATGTTTTTGAAGCTCTCGCTGAATATACTTGTTGGCCTTGTTTGTAGCAAGGCAGTGTATTGGTATCTAAAATCTAATACAATTGGTAACTACAATTGTACCCTGGCTTTTTCCTTATTAGTTCTAGTGGATTATTCCATTTTCAACTGTTCAACTTTTGTGCTTCATACACAAAAATACTTCTGAATGCATGTTTTGGTGCAAATATTATCTTAAATTTTAAACAGGCTGACGTTCCTTTGCATACAATTGTTGCAGAGAGACAAAGATCTGATGCTGTTAGAACGGCACCTATTGTATTGGATGTTAATGGTCATGCTTTCTGGCGATTGAGAGGGTATACCAGTGAACAGTATATTTTGCTGCAAGGTTAGCAAAATGCATTACTTCTATGTGTTGATCAATGGTATGAATATTGGAAGTTTAAGTCTTATTTATGTTTAATGGACAGATATTGGGACCTTGGATCCAGTAGCACCTGATGAAAAATGGTTTGCCTATGATGTTGAACAGAAAGCAGATGTAGAGAAATACATTTCTTCTATAAGGTAACTGCATTTATGATTGTCTTTTGGAACCAATTTATTTATTTTATTATAATCTTTTTAATTTTATTTGAGATCTAAAGGTATGCATAATTTGTTAGGAATTGAGAAATATGGTAGCCACTTGATCAAATATCCTCAGAAGTTTATTTTTAAAATTGGCTACTTCTCTGCATTTCTATGAATATCTTGGAGGGTAATTATGGAAATTTTGTTACCACTTAGGATTTCAGGTGGAGATTACCTTATAGACACTTTCAGAAAGTTCAAGTGATAAGCTATTTTCTAATCAATCCTTTTTAATTATTTTATAACTGGAAAGCTAGCACTGCTTGTGAATTCTAGCAAATAACCTCGTTTGGCTTCCAATCAAAGCTCAAACTAATTTCTTTCCTGTTCTTAAGAAATTTTGTTCCATGTTTCTCTCCCTTGAGGGAGAGAGAGATACTTGCAATAATTGATATAACATTTTGCAGAGTGTCACACCGATAGAGTTTTATCTTTCATGTTTATTTTATTAAGTCTTGTTGATGTTATGACCTAGAATGCAACGGTACAGAAGATCATGAGCCATGTGCTGTACATAAATGGATTATTTACTAGATCTAGAACTGAGATATAATTTTGAATGGCTGATGATTTAAATGGATTTAGAGAAGAATCAGGCCACTTCACGTGACTTTTTTGGAGCCAGTTTGGGGGGGGGGGGTAAGTATTTTGGATTTTTGGATTCAGAATGAGCATTGGTAAAGAAAAGTGAAGTTAATGAGGGTTTGGTTTTTGGTTCTGAATTTAAACTATTCAGATCAGTGAACCAGAGACATTAATTTAATTGCTTAACTGCTTTTTGGTCCCCTTGCAGGTATTGCTTTGTAGCCTTGTAATAGAGGTCTCCATAGGCTTGGTTGATTGGAGTATTTTATTCATGAACTTTATTTAATCTCAATTTTAAAATATATTGAAAATATTACTATAAAAACATTATTTTATTATTTTAATAATAAATAATATGTTAAAGGACGAGGCAGGTGTCAGGCTGGGCTTTTTAAAGGCTGAGTGGCCAGGCCCATGGGCACCTTGTGAAAAGGGCAACTTTTGTGCCCGTTATGTTTTTCAGTAAACATGGTATCTTTTTATTGTAGTGTTGCAATCACTTATGTCTTTCCCCTTTTTCTCTGCAGGACAAGAAGGCTTAGGATTCAGAAACTTTCAGATAGCCTTCCAATTTCTAGTGCTGAAACTAAGTCATAGCATGCATAGTCCATGTGATTGGCCATTCTTTCAGGTAATATTATGCTGCATGTTATGGGAAATGACTTTTCATTAAAGTGCAAAATCTTAGAATCCTTGCATTAAGTTATGCTCCATTCTGCTTAATACTGTTCTTTGGGACTTGGTACTGGCTTGAGTGGTTCTGCAAACATGAATTTCCAGATAACCTCATCTTGCAGCTGACTTATCATGAAGATTGATTGAAATATATGATGCATGTGACTTGCCATGACAAACACACAGTTTCTTATGTTAGATGTTAACATTTGTTCTTGGTCCTTCACCTATCAGATTAAGCTGTTTGGTAAGGTTGTAAGAGACCAACAATAGCTTTTAATCTCTAATGCCATCTAGTTAATTTCTTTTCTTTCTTAGAGTAAATTTTTAACATGATGCATTAAGTTTCATTGGAAATCTAGTAAAAACTATTTTAAATAAGCATTCGGAATGCTATTGAGAATTTTGCTACATTCTGTTCACCATAGATCCTGTGCATGTCTGCTGTGTTCTATTTTATCACACTGATAATGTGTTCTTGGTCGTGCCACTATAAGTTGGGATTGCCATATCTTTCTCTTCAAATTATTGAATTGGAATATTGAATTTTGTCAATGTGAAGTCATTAATCAATATTTTAAAACTATTTTTTATTTGAAATAACGAATACATAGATCTTCAACACCAACAATTTTTTGTCCTTTTATCAACAACAGAACAGAAGAATGGGGAGGCATGGCTGCTAGCTATGAGCAACAGTTGAAAACATCATCAGTCTGCTTGCTATTTCATGATGAATTTGGGTTGCACACATTGGTTTTTGGTTTCCAATTATTTGATTGTGGAATTGTAAGGTGTATGATTCAGCTGATGATTGATAGCATTTTGTAACTCATGAAATATTGTATGTTGCATGATTGTATAATTGTTATATAAATATAAATGATACTTCCAACAGATTTGTTCTCTAATATCTTACAAGTCCACATTCATCCATTCATGACAATAGATTTGATATTAAATCTCCCAACTAAGTATGCATCCTTAAATTTTTTAGTCCATGGGTTGGTTGAGTTGGTTCAATTGAGTTTGTTTTTTTTTTTAATAAATTTTTTTCCTTTTTTAGTTTCAATTTAATTAACCAAATGACAAATAGTAGAGATTGTTGATGAGTTGTGACAAAGGAAGGTTAAGGTTATTGCTTCTCATATCCTAATTAATTTGCTGTTAATCTTCCTTCTGTATTCAAATTTTATAAATTAGAATTTGAATCAAATAAATACTATTTGTTAAATATCTAAACTCGTTATATGAAATATATAATTTATTAATAATTAAATTTATACAAAATCAAACAAATATTAAAATTATTTAACCTAGTCCCATAGCCATCAGTAAATTAAACGCATAGCCATTTCTAATATGTTCCTGCTTCAATATTAAAAAATAAATAAATAAATAAAAAGGAGCAAACAAAGTTTATTTAGATTCGCGTAACACTTTCATACATTTGTGCATAACCTCGCAAAAGGCAGAAAGACAAAAGTAAAGCAAAACACAAAGGTGTTAAAGTTAAAACAACAACAACAACAAAAGCATATCAAAAGCTGTAAGCTCCTATCCTATGTACAAACACTTTGACCTGAAAAGAAGAAACTCCTCGTACTAGATAATAATGCTAACTCATGTCAGTGACAGTGAGGAGGATGTTTTCTCAACGAGGTTGCTGGATTCGTCGCGGACTGCATCTGGATTTGGGACTGGAACTTACCTGCTTAGCTGGCTTCTCGAAACACCTCGTACCTCTCTCTCTCGGGGATTTAGGCAAGCTCAAACTCCTTATTAAAGCCTTGGCATTCATTCCAACACCTGAAAAAAACCAATTGTTCAATTTAATTTCAATGTTAGAGGTGGAAAAAAAGGTCAAAGGAATTGAATTTCCATGCTTCGCAGCTACCGTTTAGATCCTTCTTTGCTTCTGTTTTTTCTCTACTTTCGGATTCGAGGAACTCCTGGAACTGAGCATCGAGATCAACCAATTCTTCATCGAACCCGGGCTCGAAAGATTCCGGTAACAAATTGGCGACATACGCGTCGTCGTCTTCGTCATCCGCCGCGAAACTCTCCTCCTGATGCTCGCTGAGCCAGTAATCACGGAACCAAGTGGACGTTTTGACTAGCTCCCACCATTCCGGAGAGAAATCCTCGACTTGACGAAAGGCCGCTGGGATAAACATTGGCGCGTTCGGATTCAACGTCGACGACCTAGCTCCGACAACCGCCGCCATTCAAATGTCTCAATCAAATTGTACACTGAGAGATCAACGAAAAGAAATTTAAGAAATGATCTCAAAATAAATCTGCACCGTGGATCTAAAAAAGAGAACGTTACCCTAGGCGTTGAATTTTGAGGTTCAGCTCAGTGAAGATTTAAAAAGCTCAGAGTAAGAGAGACCAAAGGGTGATGATGATTAATAAGGAAAGAAAAGAGAGCACAAAGTGAGTAGTGGGAGTCCGAGGCTAAGGCTTGGGAGGACCATCGGGGCAGCAGCCGGTAAATCGACGAACTGAAGGGACACGTGTATGTACAACACGTGAGTTCGAATAATGTAATGATTGGATGTGGTCATGAATCAACGGTTGAGAGATGTGGGATGATGATCGGATGGATAGGAAAAGATGGTGAGGAGATATTTTTACCAAAAGATATGCTTATTTCTAGAAAGGGTGGGAATACTCCAGGAAGATTTATTAAATTATTTGTCCACTAATTTTCAATCCTCTGCCCCACTTAAATAAATCAACAGTTGAAAGCAATTTTTTTTTTGTAATTGTTTCAATCTTATCAAATAGAACCCAAATAAAAAAAATAGACTTATTAAAAAAATTATGAAAGAATGGGGTTTATAAAGTTTTTTCCAAGAAAAAACAAATAAATCATGCAAGATTGGGACATAAAATTAGAAAAAAAATTATGTAATGTTTGAAAAATAATGGGTTTTATGCCTTTTTTCATTTAAAACTAAATTTAAAATACTTATAAAAATTTGTAAATTTTATAATTCATCTTAGTATATATTTTTAAATATATAAATATAGTGAATCTTAATTAATTTTATATAATATGTTCATTTCTTTCTCACAATTTAACAAACTAAATACAAATCATTCTCTTAATTCGTGAATTCACTTTTTTTCAGTTATCTAAAATAATAAAAAAAAAATTAAGAACTAGAGGTCCAGTTTAAGACTAATAATGTGAAGCCCACTCTTAGCAGGAGCCGGCCCAAGCTAGCGAGGGTCCGTATTATGTTACACAGGGAGATATTCGTCTTCTCAAATGCAGGGCTAGAAAATGTTTAAAAGAAGAGGTTAATTTCTCTTGTATATTCTTGGAAGATAAAGTGTTTACACTGAAGAAACCAATCAAGCTGATGAAAGCTTCAAACCCAACAAATCAAAAACAAGATCAGATTGGAGGAATCCTGTGTTGGAAGGGTAAGTTGAGTTCACTTGTTCTGACTGTTCTGTTGAAATAATTGTGATGCGGAGAGGGCCTTGTTCTATGGAGTAGCATGACTTCCATTTCTCCTGATTTTAGACAATACCAGAACAAGGAAGTTACCTCTTATGCTTTCAAGGTGAAAGGAAGGAACTCCCACTGAACCAAGGAGCCAGTTGCACAGCTCATGTCTCCAATGTGAAAAATGGAGTCCCATTGAACATAGTAATGCCTTGGGATATGTAGCATGTACATGTTCCATGCAACCATGAGTCCCTCAATCAAGAATGGGTGGACATGGCACTGCATATGACCGCTCCATCTTTTTTATCTTTTGTTGCTGAGCAGAAGTCCTGAGATAGACCATCTAATTTGTCCGTATTAGAATTTGATCTAATAAGTCTTAAAAATTATGACTTGCTATCTATGTAAGTCATCAATGATACGATCCATTTAAGATTAAATTTTATAATAATTATCTTTTTATAATTTCACATAAAAAATTAATTATTTTTTTTAACTTACAACACTTCTTATTAAAATATCTATGTGGCATCAGAGATCTTTATTGAAACTTACTTTTACGTAAAGTTATAAATATGTAAAGATAACCAACTAATTATTTTGTAAAATCTCATCTTAGGACTGTTGTATTGCAGCAAAAATACCTTTGACAAATAAGTTAAACATAGTTGATTGAGCTGTCATGGTGGTCAATCAATTTCTTCTGAATTTCTCTTTGAGAATGGATGTCGAGCATACAAATTATTTAATTAACAGTTAAATTGAATGAATAATGGCACACTTTGGGTTACAAGAATGGTGTATTTTTAATACAACCTAAGATAAGATAAATTAATTTAATCTGGATACATTTAGTTACATAATAAAATAAAATAAAATAAAATAAAATAATTTAATTTAAATACACTTGATTACATGATAAATTAAGATAAAATAAGATAAACTAACTTAATCTAAATACACTTATTACATTCACGACTTTGATGTCAATTTATTAAAATGGACTTATGGTGACTGTGAGATCTATTTAGATTCAAGGAAAGTGGGATTAAATGGTTAAGCCCCAATGTTTAATGTAATTAAATAAGTGACCGAGGAATTTTCAGGCTCTACTAAAATGGATTTCAACCTTTCTAGTTTCTAGCTTCTTTAACAGATTATTTAACGCCAGGCAACTAGAATAAATGAAATATATCTAAAGAACAATAAATCTTAAAAATAATATAAAAATGTAAATATGAGAAAAAAAAAAGTAGAGAAAACCTGAGTGACACGTGGTTAAGCCAATTTGGCGGTTGAAACATGAAGCTGAGAGAGTAACGAACAACAGCCTCTCGTTGTTCCAACCGAAGATAATACACTCAAAACACAGAAGCAAGAAGAAGAAGAAGAAGTAACCATTGAAGTAAGTAATTATTCAAAGAAAAACAGAAAAAGAAAGAAGCCGATATGCCGATGAAAGCAATATCCCCAACATCAACAGCTATAATTATTCATTCCCATCATCACAGCGTCAATCACCACCGTTGGTTCTTATCTTTATCACCTCGGCCCCAACGGCAGCAGCACCAGCACGAGCACCTCACGAGATCAACTCCCAAGCCCCATAGTCTTAAGCTAACGTTCATAACAAAAGCAGCTGATTCAACCTCTCGGCCTTCTTCTTCTGTTGCCAAAACCATTGTCACTGATGATGGCTTCTCGTTCTCTAAGGTAATTAACTAATCAGCTTTTGTAAAGAATAAATTTGGGTATTTTGTTTTGTATGTTTTGGAAGAATTTAGATAACTAGGTGAAGTAGTTTTGATCTTTGGGTGATTGTTTTTTGAAATGAAATTTATAGCTTTCATTTAGATGATTAGAATGAAATTGTATTACAGTGGCATCCAACTTGAAACCAATTGTTTATAAAAGTATTATAGGTGCCTTTCCACTTACAGCTAATTGATTTTAGGTGAATGTCTTGGCATAAACTTGTTTGGGAAATTCACATATTTGTCACAATAGTCTTATGGGATTAGTGAGAATTTGGAATTGTTTTGCTCTCAGCCTTAGTTATAAGCATTTTGAGCTCCTTTATCTTTCCTAAATAGGCAAAAGTGAGGGTGTCAATTTTCCCTCTTGCTTTAGGAAGGGAAAAGGCGTAAGCTTTCTTTAGTGAATTCCTAGAGATCATTTTATTTCAATCAACAAATCAAGTGAAGCTACTTTAGTACTGCTATTTGCATTTCTCCTTTAATGCATTTTTTGTTTCCTTGGAAGTTGGAATATATTTCGCCATTTGGTATATATATATCTTAACTTCTTTAGGTAACATAAATCAACACCCATTCACCATCTTAATGTTAGATTAAGACTGATTACAATGTGGGTGGATACCTATTAGCTGTTATGGTTCTTGATGTTACAATATGTAACTGTGAGACTCTGAATTGTTAAAAAGGCTTGCATCAGATAGGTACCCTCTTTTGAGAGTGAGTTACGTCTATCTTTTCTTAACATTGATTGCCATCACATTGGTTCTGATTTAAACTAGTTGGATCAGTAGATGGTATGTAGACAATGCAAACTGCATTAATAAGTGGCAGACTTCTCCGATGAAAAGCTTGTAATGCTCCACCTAAATGCTAAAAGCAATACAGTGACGCACACTTAGTTTCACTTCAGTTAAATCTCTTATTTGGACATAATTGTCACAGATGATCTGAGCAGATCAGGCCTTCCATGATAATGATCTGTTAACTGATACATATATCATATGTCTTCTTATATTCTGATGAATATTAATATTAGTAATTATTATTTGCAGCTATCGTTTGGTGTTATTGGACTGGGTGTTGGAATTTCACTCCTCTTGTGAGTGCTTACCTTTTGAGTTTTCTTCTTTCTCGTAAGGGTACTTTGTCTCTGGTTAATGCGTAACTTACAGGTATGGTTTTGGGGCATATTTTAACTTTCTCCCTGGATCTGAATGGTCGGCAATAATGCTGACATATGGCTTTCCTCTTGCAATAATTGGAATGGCCTTCAAGGTAAAATTTTTTTCACACGATTGGGTTTGAGATGGATATTTGAAAACGTTTAATCTCATATTTCCTCATTAGACAGTGGGCTTTGAGCTATCTGAAATTAGAACTTCAGCAGCATTGTTGCATCATATGTGAAGTTGTGTCTTGCAAGAAGCTTTTAAATTTCATCTTGGCTTAAATTGGTTAAAGCTGGAATACAGGGTTTCCAGATTTTCATCATAATCTCATTGAGAAACTGAAATCAGCTGTGAATTTCACCTCCTAGGAGAATAAAGATTCAGATAAACGGCTGTATTAACCAGTTTTATAAAGATAACTCTTCTTATCATGATCTTAGCTCTATTTAATTGCTTTAGCATTTATATTAGGTCAGTAAGCTGTCCTTTTCTAAGATGCTCTGAAGATTATATTTAGTATATTGCTAAAGCTCTAATATGCTTTTATGCAGTCTAGTTTTGTAATAGTGACAGGGGAGCAATGTAGTTATTTCTTTTTTTATTTTTCTTTTCTTTTAACAAAGTGTAGACTTTTGGTTGTTTCACAGTATGCAGAACTCAAACCAGTGCCATGCTTGACCTATTCAGATGCTCAAATGTTGAGGGAAACTGGCGCCACTCCTATCCTTAAGCAGGTATTTTCATCAATCTGGCATTGCACACTCATTCACGAAATCTTGAAGATAGATTGCACATGAGATTTTTCCACCGTTCAATCCCATTTCCCATAATACCCCACATGAATCATCTTGCCGGTAGGGTTTCAATTGTAATAGCTTCTTGACTCCAAAGGCTATTGTTGACTTAATGAAATTTGATAAGTCATTGACTAATTAGTGGCTAAATTAGGTCGAGTTTTACATGTGTCAAAAATCAGGGTCGGTCTGTTTGTTCCTGAAAATTTCCTCGTGCCAAGCTACATTCATTATGAGATGCATATAGTACTCTTTTCGTTTTGCGATCACATTGGAATGACCTTTTTATAGCTTTAATCAGGTAAAGAGTGATGTTACAAGATATCGTTACGGGGATGAACAGCATTTGGATGAGGCATTGAAGCGGATTTTCCAGTATGGTCAGGTATGACTTCTAATGTCTAACTGAACTCCATGCAGGATATGTGCTTTTTATATGCGTTTTGGCAAATCACTTATTTGGTCATTGGAAGTAAAAAAGTGGAAATCAAAAATTGTGTTTGTTGACAGTTAAGTATTGACTAAATTGATGAACTCCAAAGGATGCTGTCTTTCTTCTTACTTCAAGTTTCTGTTTATTCTTTGTTGAATATATTCTCTCTTGCATTGGCAACTCTTAGAAGTTGGAACAACTAAATAACAGAGTAGTAATTTTCTGTTTTATAAAATCCTACTATTTGCAACATGAGAAAGCAAATTCATAGGTAATGTCTGAAGAAGCTGAACTTATGTATAATTCTGTAGAGTATTATTTTAAATGAAAAGGAAAAGTTTGAAAAATGTATGCATTTTCTTCAATATCTAGACATTCAAACATGTTAACAAATCGAATTAATTGTCCATGCTTTCTTTTGCTGCAAGAGTAGTTTTTAAAATTTCTGCATTGTATATAATAAGGGAGATTTCTTTGTGCTCTGTATGTGGGAAAGGAAAATTAGTAAGCTGTTTCTTTGCTTAAGTGTTGGGATGGCTCTTTTCTCCCAACTCTGATAGAGAACATGTAATATCCATAAGGTCTCTTCGTTAGGAATTTGTCCCTGGCTTTCATATCTTATAAATTCTTGTTTCAATGTCAATATCTGCAAATTATGTGTTGTCTTGGCAGAAGCAACCTTGAGGGATATCAAAGAGTCTATAATGTACAAGTTTGGGAGTTTAATATTTCAATGATTAACTATTGGAAAAGATAAAAGAGAGAGAGACCTATACTTACTGTTGGTGCCACTAGAATACAAAACTAAGGGGCATCTAAATACAATCTCTATCCTTGAGCTTTTTTGCATGATGTGGCTGCTCTCATGAACTAACTCACGCTCTTGCATCCCTCTCCGCTGCTTTGTTTATACTTTTCTCTGCATCATATACAATTTGTTCAGTGTGAAATGATGAAAATTATGAAAAAGGGAAGAAATATTTCTAACCAAATTCAATTGGACCAAAATGTGGATGCAGCCAGTTTGAGCATTTGTAGAATCAAAACATCACCTAAGCTAGACTAAGAATAATGATTGTACATTTAATATTTAATTTTGTAAAAATTTCAGATTTCACTGAGCCCTCAATCCAAGTTTGCTTACCAAATTTTTGGTCCTTGGACCTGTTGGTTGCCAATTTAGCAGTTGGAGGACAATCTTTTGCAACCACTTGATGAGGCACTGTTTAAACTTTTTGGTTGACCCCTGATGGATTAAATATCAATTGTTGGCAAGTGTTTGACTGTTAACATCTTGCATTTGTCAGAGATATGTCCTATTGATAAAAATCTTTCGCCTCTCTCCTGCCCCTGCCGTGTTTTAAATCGTATATAAATTTGAAGAATTGACATGCCTAAGCTACATGTATGAGTTATTTGGTGAAGAAGTAGGTGAAATCACTCTAATCTTGCTATTCTTGCTTGTCAATTTCCTGCTTGTTCCCCAGTCTCCACCTAGAAGGAAAAGGAAAGGTAAAAAGAAAGAAAGAAGCCAACAATGATCAACACCTATGAAGAAGAATTTAAAATGCAATTTCGGATACAATGTGCCATGTCTTGTACTTGTAAATTTTATTGTTATATTATATTTAAATTTTAAATTTTTGACATCAGTCTTCATTTCTGAAAATTTCAGGGTGGAGGAATTCCTCGAAGAAGTGCACCTATTCTACAAATGATCCGGGAAGAAGTATGCTTCTCTAACTTGATTTTATTCCAAAAAATAAAATTTGCTAATTTCCTTACCATATATATAGAAAACATTTATTGGTGTCAGTCAATAGTAACTTACATGAACATTTATGAAGTGCATTATATTTTAGTTTGGGAACTAAAGAGTGCTGTCAATATGGCGGTACCTTTTTTCCCCCATGGCTTTGCAGGAGAGTAATCGTCACTTCTCAAATTATTTCGGCATCTTCCATTGTCGAAGTGATGTTTGATCTTTTGATCTTGTTTTGATGCTTATGTACATTACTTGAGATCATTTGAACTGAGTACTCAATTGCTGGACTTAATTTGATGAGGATTTTCAGATATTAGCCTGCCACCTTATTTTTGCTACCATGTCTTAGGTTACAGAAGATGGTAAATACTGTCTAGTCCTGGTGTTTGAGGCTAAAGCTTTGCAATTGTTAGATTTTGAACAGAGACAGGTAATCTGGTAACATGTCTTTGCCAAAGTATGTATCAACCTATTTATTGAGAGTTCTAATGTGGATGTCCTTAAATTGTCATGAAGACATTCGTTAATTTCTCTATGTTTAATACTTTTGTACATTATTATTCTGTAATTCCTTAATTCAAGAAAGTGGAAATAACAACATATTGATCTTTTGGTTAAAATGATGTTTTCCAGGCAAAATTTGCTTCTTTCTTTGGACCAGGGATCACAGCTGAAGTAGGTGAGTTTTGCTTTTCTACTCCTTCATTTGAAAATTGCTTATACAATAGTCTTTTTTGGTCAAAGCTTATGAGCTATATGGCTCAGGGAAGGGAGAGAATAACATATATGAAGTTCGACTTATTTCAAATTCCACCTCCAATGCATCAGCTTCGTGAAGTTTATGATGGCGGTTTCATCTAATTCTGCTTTCGGGTTTGACTTTGATATGTTGTTTCTCATGAAATTTTGTAGTATATGTGTATATATATACATATATATTCAATGTCAAATGCATTTTATATCAATATTAGAATCTCAAGAAGATAGGAAAAAAAAAGTGCAAAATAGTTGGCAAAATCATTGACAGCTAGAACTGATAGCTAATATCCGATGTTTGATTGGGTGGCTAACAATTATTTGTTCTGGGAGAACATGTGAGATGTTTTGTCTGCAAAGCTTGCTAAGTGGCCTATAGATGGTAGAAATATGAACTTTATCTTGAGCTTGGATCACAAACTATCTTGACTTGGGCAACTTTCTTATTGTCGTTTTTGTCTGATATGGTTTTCTAGTTTCTTTGAAGACTATTATCGTTTTTACTCTAAAGTAAGCATGCCAATTTTAATGATACTCTTGATCTAGGATGAGGCTCTTGATATAGTAAATACTAAGCCAGATTTGCATTGGCAATACAAAGATCCCAGCTACTGGGGTAAGCAGAAAGCCCTACCTCTGGTAATATTCTGGAGGTGTAATTTAATGTTAAGTTTTTATAAACTTTGGCAAATAACAGATGATAGTGTTTTCATCAGAATGTAAATTTTCAGGAAAAGTGAGGGTGACCTTCCTTTTTGTTGTTTACTGTCTGTCATCATGTGTTTAAAAAGATGTGAAACTCGTACAATCTTTGAATGGACATGTCAATTTTCCTTTAAAAAGCCTGAGTTTAGATTGATGGGACAATTCAACTTAGAATTGTTAAGAGTGGAAACACAAAGATGGCTAACTAGCAAATTCAACCTACTAATTATGCTTCAGACACTACAGCTAAATGCTATGAGATGTCATGAACTCAAGCATCCCCTTTTATTTTTTATTTTTTGTTTTTTTTTTCAAATTTTAATGATTTTCTTTTCCTGGCACCAGTTTTTGCAAGGCCAAAATAGAAAGAATGTGTGGTAACAAAGTTGCTGTTGAATAATTGAATATTCTTTTCTTTTTGTCAGATGAATTAATGACTAAATATCGTTCATTGTATGTATTCAGCACATTATTGGTGTGCTTACATTTAGAATTGGTGGAGTATCTAAATTGGACAGGTAAGTTGTGCATGATTGTCTGCTTCTGAGCTCTTAGGGAAGAACGTTTCCATTCCAAGGCCACAAACAAAAGCATGCACGTGAACACAGAGCTGTCAGCCATTTTCACCATATAACAACAAGAAACAAAACACAACATCACTAACTACAGCAAAATTCCAAGGAAAACAAACTACCATAGGACTGTCTTTCACCTCTGTTTAATCATGACTGCTCTCATTTTCACCTTCAGATGCAATCTGTCCTTCAAACAACAGAAGAAAATCCCTTTTGATTGAGAGATAGGGAACCTCAATAAGCCCACCAATATCTTCTCTTTTTTAACCATCTTTAGCACCCATTAAAATGAGGAAAAAAGATACTTCTCTTTCTTGATTTGTGCTTCTCTCTCTGCCTTCTTCTCATCCATGATAAGCATCCAGGTTGCCTGCTACACCTGCACATAAGCTCATCTTTTCTTCTCCTCTCTGCTTTGTCAATTATTGTTTCTTCTTTCTCTCCTGTTTCTTTCACCTCAACCTGCGCCCAACAATGAATTCTCACATCAATATCATACTTGCTTTATGTGTTCACCCCAAGAATTTACCTTACTTGGCTAACTTAGATTACTACCGCGAGTCATCACTTTGCTTAAAATTCATCTAAGTATTTCAATACTTCCATGGAAAATAAATAAAGAGTGACTTGCGGAACGCTCGCATGGATCATTCATTTGTTTCAGTTGATACTATACTTGTTGAACTACCTTAATTATTTTACTAACAAATCGTGGGAGGTTTAAAGTGATGCTGAGGCTGCTTGATTATATAACGTATATGTACTCTTGCCAGGCAACCTAACTGTTTGAGCTTAAGTATCTGATCTATTATGTATTAATTTACTATGAAATGTTTCAACTTAAGCCTCGGTTCCAAGGTTAAGTTTAGCCTAAACCCGTGAGCCAATATGCAGCCTCTTTATTATTATTTTTGGGTTGCAGCAGCCTCATATGCTATTGTCAAGTTTCTGGTCCAGAAAATTGAAAAGCAAAAAAAAAAAAAAGAACTAGATTCTGTTTCATTTCCATTAGCATGATATGTTGGATGCCACCTATGACATTGTGGTCTGATGGCCCATTACAACCTCTCTTAACCATCAGTGTGTTAGAAAAGATCCTAATAGTTGAGCTACAAAATCATTACCACCTATGGTTAGTTTGGTTTTTTTTTTCTTCCCTTGACATTCTCACATAAAATAAGCAATGAGAAGCAGTTAACAGAGAGGGTATGACTCTTGAATAGAAACAAAAAACTTATGCTCAATGCTCATGTTGCACATGCAACCACTTTGGACACCAGCACCCCAAGTTGAGCAATTTGCGCTTAGCATATATGTGCATAAGCAACCAAGAGTTCGCCTAATCATTGTTTTCTTAATGACTAAACTGTACCCAAAAAATCTAATGATTGCATGGTTAAAATGATCAGAACTTGATTTCAGAGCTTAGATCCAATATAGAGATGATGATTTGGGATAGAGACAGGCTCATTTTAGTTTGGATTTTGGATTCATATTCAGCAAAATCTAATGTAAAGTAACTATAATATTAAATTAGCAAGGTCCAGTTAATGGTGGCAGGGACAATATATGATGCAGGAATTGTTTATATGGTATTTCTGATGAAAAGCCCTGAAACACATGGCTGATTTTCCCAAAAGACGAAAAGACTAAGAAAAAGCAGCGATAAGCCATTGTCATTGAGAACCCCAAAGAATCAAAAAGAGTGCAAGAACAAGAAGTGAAGAATCCTTTTCAAGGTTTGGCACTGAAGCATCTTTGGTTGATCCACATAAAACAAAGAGAAGAACGAAAAAGAAACACTAGCATGATTCAAGTAAAAAAATGAGAATTGTTTTGATGACTTGGTTTTGGAATTGTTCTTGCCTTTTGTTTTGAAATCCCAAAAATGCTATTGCAATCCTGGTTTCTGCCGCTGATAAGACTGCTGTAGGATATCAGAGACAAATCCAACAGCATGTGCTGGAAAGTGGGATGGTTGGGAGAAAACTTCTAAGGCTTTATTTTGTAATGTACATGCAATTGGAGCGCATGTACTTATCAATCTTAAAGAGGGACCAATTGAGATATTAGTTCCCCACCTAGGAAGGACACAGTTCAATTATTTCTGCAGGATAACAGGCTAGCTGGGGCATGTACTTGTCAATCTTAGACTTATGAGAGCTTATGTACCCTTGAGACGCATGTGCCCACGAAAGCCCGAGGGACCAAATAATCTAACAGTCCCCCACATTGGAAGGCACTCCGAAACTATAGCACTATTCAGGCAATCCTAGCTGTCTGATCTTGAAAACACGCCATGATAAGGTAAGCAACACGTAAGGACTAAGCAAGCAGCTTTTATGAACACAATTAGGCTACTAGAATTAGAATGGCATTGGCATGCATTCCTATTTCGATGGATATTATCAACTTTTCTAGTCCCATGTAAGTAGTAAGAAAATATGCAAGCCTGCAATTCACAGCGAGCAGCAAGTGATACATCATTGCCCTGGTGAAACGTTGGAACTTCTTTTTTGAAGTCTATGGGAGCCAGTACTAAACTTGAATGAACCTGTCCTTCTAATTGTGAAACTTACATCAAAAGGGAAAACTTGAATATGAAAGTTTAAGCGAAAAGAAATGAACTTGGAGTGAACATTGAGAAATATGGCATGGATATATGATGCTGCAACATGTTGTAGCAAATATTACTGACGCTTCAGAATTATCCAACAATGTCCATGATATAAGCAGAACGTCCGAAAGTGATAGGTCAAATTATGTTTCTTAAGAATATTTCTTTCTTGAGTTCCTTACTTAGAGACAGTTTAACAGCAGCAGACATGAATGAAATCCTCCATAGGAAAGCACGTACCTGTTCCTCAGCCTTTGACTTTGTGTTGGAGTTAGGGGAATCTCCATTTTCTGTCCCGCACCGCTTTAATGCTCTCTCTAATATTGAAGGGGTTGAAGCAGGGCTAAGACTACCAGAACTAAGATCAGGTGGTGTACTTTGAGTTCCCACATCTCTAGTCATGCTCTCTGCTTTCTTCTCTGCAATCAGATGCACTAAAACTTTAAACTAACTTAAATCAAGCTCTTCGGGTGCATGGAAAAACAAAGCAGCCAGAAAATATTTGCTTCCGGACCTGGTGCTGGGAACTGAGCTACGTCTTCCGGCACTGTCCTGGAAAGCTTTGTTTGGATATGGCACGAATGGGAGTAAACAAGAGGAGCAGACATGGTAATTCTGTTTGTTAAGTTGCGAAATGACCTTCCACTGAGTGTTTTTGCAGACAAACATTCCATCGGAACCTCTCCGGAAAGTGGGTTGCAAATGTATTTCTCTGCTTCATTCCACTTGGAGTTTAAGACAAACCCGTCCGGTGACAGGCATTCCCAACTGCTACACACCGTCCTTGCCTGCAATGCTGCAGAAAAAACCAGTTAGTCCAAAAGATTGAACTGTTAAGTTTGCTCAAATAGTTACTCTACAGAATTTTTGAACTGTTTAAAAAGCACAAAAATATGATTTAACAGTTACCTTTGAGAGCAGCAGTGAATGAGTATGTAGAAGGGTCAATCTCATCTGTAAAATTAACTGGAAAGTTTGAGAGGAACAGTGAGTGGGAAAAGGCAAATTTTGCATGAAAGAGAAACTAGAGAGGTACCTTTTAAGGAATAGCCTGGAGAGGAGGCAGTGCTAGAAATGGTTATGTTTGATCTAAAAGACCTCGCATCTTCTCTAAAACTTCTGATATACGATGCTGAATATCTTCTTGAAGTAGTGTTTTCGCGGCTAATTCGAGCCTTGAGACCCCACTCTCTCAAGTTGAACTCTGGTTCATCATGTCGTCGTGAACTATAAGAAGACTGTTCCACGGCAGAGGCCATGAATGAGCTATAATTTGAATTGGAAGTCTTTTTTCTTTTTTGCTCCTAAATTTTGTTGCAGGTTTTATAAGTGTGTGAACTTCAAAACCTGTGGCTGCCACATCAGCAGATTCTGCCTGGAATATTTACCAGACTTCCAAATGTAAGAGCAACCTTTTTGTTGAGCTCTAATTGGAAGTCCAAGACTGCCCTAAATTTCCTACTTTCTTTTAACCATGGCTCCATAAACATTTAAGATGGTTGTTTTGATATTCATAAGAAAGAAAGTTTTACTATCTTCTATCCTTATTGGACAAGTGATAAAGCAAAAAGAATTAAAAAAAAAAGATACCATGACAGACAAACAGCACAGCTCACACCAAAAGAGTGAAAAAGGTTTGATAATCTTATGCCAATTCTAGACAAGGTATAACCCCACCTCTCTTCTCTTTTATAAGAGGCAAACCAAAAATTCATCCAAGGCTGAGCAAAATAGACCAGGTATAACCCCACCTCTGTATGTGTTGTTTAATAAGATGTATTAGACTTTCTGGCATATTGGAGGGAATTTAAATCACGCTTACTGGAGGACCTAAAGAAATCTAATCCTGATAACTACAAATCTATGGTTTGATGAGGATCATCCACATGTGGAGTATTTACTTGTACCAGAGTTCACATTTCTCGGCTATATACATTTCAGATCCAGATTGAATTATTCAGTGTAGAAAGTGCAAAGAGCACAAGAGCTCAAGTTTTTGTTTCCCCTAATTTTACAATTTGGAAGACCAAGTTACAAAGTGGAGCAGGTCATTGTTTCTTTTGTTGTATTGCTCAAAATGGGTAGGCAAATAGGCTTATTGAGTTGCACTATGCATAGTATAACATGGATTTTGATGTTGATTTAATTCCAACTTTAGTTCAGCAGCACTTTTCTGAGATACACTGAGTTCATCCCAAAGGACTTTTTGGAACCAAATTAAATGATGTTTCACTATATCTTGTCCAACATGGCACCACTTGGAGTGATGGCTGAAAATTTTCATTTTCCCTTGTGACTAAGTTGAACTTAGGGCAATTCACAATTCATTTCATGTTGGTTCTTCTTTTTACTCTTTCCCCTTCTTCAGGGCAAGAAACTCTTTGCCACTATATTATTAGCACTGGCATTGGCAGATTGAAGGTGTGAAAGTGTATTCCACATTCAGTATGTACCAACTAAAAATCATATAACTGATGTAGGATATTAAAGTGGAAAGGTTCTAACTTCTTTTTTTTTTTTTTTCGGTTTTTCCCAAGTTCAAGTAAAGCTTGAAGTCTGGGTGCCCCAATAGGAAACCGAAGGTGCATGTTCTCATTTCGCCTTAAGTTTGCTCTTTGATCTCTTAAAAGGGGAAACATGACAGCTCGAATCTAACATCTTTGTCCAAGTTCTACCCCACCCTCAACAATACTCAAAAGTTGCAAATAATTAGGTGCTGATTGCATCTCTGATAGTGGACAGAAAGCATTAGAATGTAAGTGAAACCATGCACGATTAATGAAATCTGTTACCAACAAAACAAGATTGTCAACCCTAACAACTCCCCTGACAGTTGAAAGGCAAATTTTATCTAATGGTGGTTGTGGACCATATTTAAACAGAACCAAGATGCTGAATCAACTCAACTGGTGTAAAAAGTCAGAACTATGGACAGGTAATGGGGTCCCCAATATTGTACACTAGTATATTTGAGGGTCTAGTATTTGGTAGGATGGGGAGAAGCTAACGCATGACTCATTGATACTTCAAATGTTTAAAATGGCCAAAACTTGCTTTTCCCTCCTTTGATTTTCTCTACCACCAATGAGGTTTTGACACCAGGAATTCATCAGTGAGGACAACCTCACTTGATCACAACTCTTTGGGGATGTAGAGATTGGACAAGTTGTTCTGGTAGATACCCTCTGTTGGGTTGTTTTCGAAATGGGTTGTTTGGATAGAGGGAAAAAAAGAGTGGACAGCAAGAAATGGGGGGAACCGAGAAAGTGTCTATGTGGGTATAATGCATGTGCAGGACATGTGGTTGTCATCATCATCAAGAAAATGAATGAATGGTAGAGGTTCTTAATACTATGGAAGCAGGTGGGTCCCCTTTGTAGCTCATCATGACCGTCACTTTTGTCTGATTTGTATGCAATGTAGGTTTCAATTGAAAGGGAGAGGTATTCCCTGTGTTGAGTGTTGCCAGTAAGTTTTTGGTCCATTTGCTTCATTTAATCTTTAAAGTTTCTCAAAGAGATGTCTTTTAATCTTTCCCTACTTTCATGTGACTTGTACTATCTTCTATCTCACAACAGTTGTTAATTTAGAAATAAAAAATTCAAAAGAAATTTTAGATAGAGGAATGCTCTCAAACATCTTCAAATAGTTTTGCTCTGAACCTGAGAGATTAAAGCTTTTTTTTTTTTAATTTTCTAGAAAAAAAAGATAAGCATGTTACATTTATGAAGATCTAAAACTTGTGTGGCATGGGATTTCAAACCAAAAGTCTACTGTTTGTTAATCTTCAACCTCAACTTGGTCATCCCGTCAGCTTGTCATTTTTGTCTGCACTAGTCATTACAAACCAAGCATTTGACTAATGAAACATCATTAACAAAAGCAAAGGTAATTTTATTCAGCAAAACCTCCTCTCCTTCTTTTAGTTATTTCATATCAAATTCAATTTGTGTTCACAATTATCAATCAAACTGTACAATAGCAAACCAATTTATGGGGCTTTATTCCCATTGTTAAAAGGTCAAGGTGGATCCATCTTTCCATCTGGTTTCACGGTAATCCCATTGGTTTAAGTCATTCATGCCCTACTTGTTCATAACACAAGCAATGATCGTTGAAGGATTATTTCTTATTGCCAAATCAATTTTTCTTTCCATTTGTTTTACTACCAACTTATCAAAAATATCCGAGATAATGTGCAATATTCTGTTAATTTTCATGCAAAAATCATTCCAAATAAAAGCATGGTGACAAAATTCAACATCGACTCATACTGCCATAATATAGTGACAAATTTAGTATTTATCTCATAGTTGTTCAAGTAAAGGAAGACAATTGTACAGTTGAGTATAATTAAGAATAGTCTGAATTGGAATAAAGATAGGCCAAAAACATTCATTATTGACAGCAATTGTAACACAAGCAAATGTTCCCCAGGATGGACCACGCCCCTTCAAATTTAAATGGTCAGAAGTTGAAAACAGCGACTAACCTTAGAAAGATGTACGAGACAAAATAGTATGTCTAAAAAACAATCAAAAACTAGCTGGCATATTTGTGACCTTAGGTTCACTGCAGGCTTGGTCCTCCAATGGACAATGTAAGATGGAATAAATTGTGTGCTTCAAAGATGAAACTGTGGAAGGCCAACAACCAACACTTCAGATGCAAATCAGTCTTGCAGCATGTGCAGTCGATGTGGCTTTGAGTTGTTGAAAAGATTCCTACATCAGGATCCAAAACTCTATTGACAGGCATCTGACTTTTCCCATGGTTCTGTATGTTATAGAAATGTAAATTTACAGCGCAATAAAACAAAAAACAGATTGGTAACCAGAGGCAAACCATAGGAAACAGGATAGTAGAGAAACAAAGCTGACAGGAAATTCGGCAATTAAGATAACAACTAAACCCTTTTATCACTTTCAGCAGTTGACAATTGATTATATTGTGCTATTGTACTCTATTTAGTATTGAGGATCATAGACTTGGTTAAACTTAAGAAATATAAGGTCCCTTATTATAGTTTACAACCATCCCCTCTTTGGTAATTCTCTCACCCTCATGACATGTATATCCTCCATTAACTCACATTTCTCACAAAAGCCTTTTTAGGCCTCCTATGTACCGTGCAAATAACAATAAATGCTTTTCGTTCATTTTTCCCACAATGGGTGCTACCCTTACCTCCTTATGCACTAATTCCTAAGCTTATCATTCTGTAATTTGTTTACACATCATAATCCCGTGTAACATTTTCATCTTAATTATATTTATTTTATTTGGTGTATGTTAATACTTAGTTGCCCAACATTTAGTCCTGTTAAGTATTGCTGGTCACGTTATTGTACTTTAAAATTTTCTTTTAAATCTCAATTGAACATTGTTTGCAATCAGAGAGGATTATGAACGTATCTTTTCATTTCATCCATTATAGTTGAATGATGAAATTTCCATCAATTTTCCACATACTTTCAGATAATTGAACAAAGATATTGAAATTGCTCACCTTGCAATATATCTTCTTCACTAATTCTCATCAACACTTCATTCCCATTTCCACTTTAACTAAATTGGCATTCTGAAGATTCAGTTTGACCAATTATCACCAAGACCATATCATAACAACAAAACATAGTTTAAGTTTAATGTTTGCAGCATCCTTTTTCTCATCCATTAACACCATATCATTATCAAATAACATAATTCAGTCCTTGCAGGAGAAGAACATGGTTTTTTAAGGACTAGACTATTCAGTGATTTGTTTTTTTAATTTCATACATATTTTAGTTCAATTGTAATCTAGCACTGGAAAGTAAATTACATCCTTCTCATAAATAACTCAACGTGAATGAAAGTTGTCCTTTTCAAAAAAAAAAAATGAATGAAAGTCATCTCAAAAGAACTAAACCTTATTATTCAAGTTGACAAAGTATTGGCAAGCATTAAACTAATGTGGAGATGCCATGATCAAGCATCAATAGCTTGGCTAGATGGCATCTAGCCATAGGTCCAATTCAAACCCTATTTGATTCTTAAACCCTAACCATAGGTCCAATCATATCCTTAAACCCTAAAATTTCTTATTTTCCAACTCAAAATAACCATAAATTGTAAGTAGGAACACTATCACAAATCTGGCCTACATGTCATATGCTAGATTATGCAACTTATATTTTAATAAACTAAACTTCACATTATACATACCTTCAGGAGCTCAATGTCCTTGAGGTCTTATGCACACATGAGACAACTGCAGATCCTGACTTCAGATACCTTTGTACTCTGAATGCAAGATGGCCAACTGAAATTCAGGTAAAGACAAGCCCGTGCAGTAATCAGTTACCATCCTAAGAATTGATGGATTACAAATTTACAAAAGAGTTAACACATACTTAATAAAAATACTGGTCCAGGAATAAACTGAGAGGTGTATAATCATCTGATGCAGCCTGGAACATAAATGCCCTACAAAAGGATTCACCTAGATCATCAGCAGGGCATCCACATTTATCTTGTAAGGAGGAATGACATAAGAAAACGCTCACCGCAGAAAAAGATATAGTTGCCAAACTACTTCAGGAAATAGCATATGTGTACAAGCTTCCTGCTCAGTACAGAGAGGTGAAGTCAAGAAATTTAGAAACCACAAAACAGAATGTTGCAGAGAGGAAAATATATGCTCAAGTGCAACTTGAGAAAAAGAAAAACAGGAAAAGGAAGGGGGGAGGAGGGCACAACAGTAGTAAGTGGGCACGCACACATATTACACCAAGAACAGTTTATCTTATCTTGATAGAGAGATTACAAACGCATACAATTACCTCTCCAGTTTGCCAAGAAAATGCAAATATTCAACATATAGGCTAGCACTTCCTGTTAATTTTTAATTTCAAGGAGCATTTCACAGATAGAATACCTATGAAAGAATAAACAAAAGATTACCTCGTCCAAGGATCATAATACTGTTTGCAGCCAAGGGTATCATATCTTGGATCTTTTCACAAGAAAAAATTGCTTGACTAACTAACAAATAAAACAGGAAAAAGGTAAATCGCCTCGCCAAAAAGTTAGGGGAAAAATATAAAACTAAGAAGTTAAATTTATATTTTACAACACCCTCAAAAGGGCACGGGAACATATCCATCATAAGAAACACATCAGTAATAAAATGATTGAAGAATCAGGTTCTCCAAATCATAGAACTTTCACTGAGCTCACATAAAATGCAGAAGGACCCCAACTCAAAATAAATCAAAACAATGCCAAGCATATACCAGTATTTCCAAAGTTTGATAAAAGTTAGAGTGTATATATGACATAATTCAAAATTTTCAAGTAATGAAATATGACGATTAACAAAACCTGACATTCGTAATAGCTTTTCATCACTCTCCCTTTCATCATTTTCATTAACAGCAGAGGTAAAATCCATCATGTGCACAGAATGATGCCCATCTGATATCCAAACAGTTTGTCTTCCTGCAAAATGGTGGACATTACCCCTTTATTTCATAGATGTAACATAATGATCAACCATCAAATGCCTTTCCCCTGTAAAGCTGAGTTCAAAGGTCAAAACTTTAACATTAATAGAATTCCCAAAAATGTGTTTCACCAACCCAAAATTTTGGCACTTTTGTTTTTAACGGAGGGTGCAGGCATTCTAACATCAAATGAAGCCTTTGGAAGAACTAAAGAATTAGAGAAGCTTACTTGAGGAAATATCAGGAAGAACAGCCAGCTTCTGCACTTTCAGAACATGTGGCAATTGCCTCATGTGACAGGTAATGTTTGATCCAACAGCTGTGTTTAATACATGCAAGACAGACAAATCTCCTATAGAATTCAAGATTATGAATTTCTTTGAGGACAGTGGTTGGATGGAAATCGCCTTCATGGACATAAACAGCACTTTTCTAGATTTCATGCCCTTAACTTCCTTTTGCTCAAATGCCACAAAGCATGCACCCTCTTCAGCAGATTCTTGTCTGTATTTTCCAGACCTCTGCTTCACTGCAAACCAAGATGCCAAATCAGAGAGGAAAAAAGAATCAAACTCCATGTAAACTCTCAGTACTTCTTAAAATAGATAATTATAAATGAAAAAGGACAATGTTTTAGTTAAGTACTTAGACTGTGCAAGTGCCATATAGAATATATTAATCTTTGTAGTAAACTACTAAAAATACAGTGAAAGACTTAGTGATCCCATCCACCTCATAGAGACTTCACTGAAACAAAAGGGAAACACATAAGAGAGTTCTTGATTAACCATACTTTATACTTTCTAAGAATAACTAATTTACCATCTAGAGACATCCTTATACTTTAAACCTCTTCATCTAATACGATCTTCATTTGGAAACCCCTTTACATCAAGTACCAGTCTCAACAGCATCTCCCTTAAATTATATCTAATGCTATAATTTAAAAAAGCATTGATCGAAGAGGTAAGCAAAATTCCTTCTAAAGCCCTTGTATCTCAAAAATCCTTAACCTGAAGTCTAACAAACACTAAAAGGGTATGTTGTAATTCGTCAAGCCTCTTAAAAGTTCATTTATAAAAAAAAAAAGAAAAGAAACCACTACAAGAAAGATATCCAATCACTACGTTAGCTCTGCACATTCAGTCATGATGGCGGAAAAAATATTACTCAGAGTGACTTAAAGAGGGTGCTAAGCTTTCGCAGTATATTAAACTAATTCAGTGACCTACAGCCCCTGCACATCACTGGTTCAAGTCATGACTAACAACATCACAGCTTTAATTCAATAAGAAAAGACATTATAGAATGATGTATAATCAGCTCAATCAGCAGCTATCCTTAACCGGTTAAATATCACATAGGCAGGCTGCAAAAGGAGCATCCCAGTCTAACTCACTCGTGCACTTTTGCTAGTAAAATTGTCAACAATTAGAGAATAATCAACAAAATCCATTAAATTTTTTAGAAACAAACAAAAATAACACTGCCACGACTACTACATAAACATGAAAAATAAAGGTCAAAGCACAATATAAAACCAAAACTCACCAGAAACACAATGTTTTTCAATCTTCCCATTTAAATAGCCATTACAAACAATCCCTGAACTACTTGATCCACCACCACCAAAACCATCACTATCTCCAATCACCCAGTTTGACAGAGCAGAATACTTCAGTCTCCTGATCTTTTTCCCTTTCACCAATTCTCTTAAATTCCAAACTCTAACCCCATTTTCCTCCCCCAAAACCAAGCACTCAGATGATACACTCATTGAGAAAACAGGCTTCGTACAATCAATCACAGCACATTTCATCAACTTAACCACCACCCCATCATCACCGTCATCATTACCCACCAATTTAACCCCAAAGACCCAAACTTTCGAGCTCGAAGCCGAATAGAATGCGAAAAAATTAACAGACCCAGCAATCATAACTTTTAAACCATGACTAACATCAATTAGAACCCCAACTTTATCATCAAATTCAATACCCTTTTGATTGGAAACAACAACTTTGGCCTTCTCAAAAACCTTACTGTCATCATTCCTAAAAAGAAAAAATCTAAGGAGAACCTTCGAACCACCTTTGTAAGGGCCTCCAACAATGAAAAGGACTCTGGGGTTAGGATTTAGTTGGGTTTTTTGGAGAAGGAAAATGGAGGAAGATGAAGGAGGAGGAATAGTAAGGGATTTTTTATGGGGAGGGAAAGGGAAAGAAATGGAAGGAAAAAGGGAGAGAGAAGAGTCAGAATGCAAAAGAGCAAGGGAACAAGAATGGGGTTCAAAAAGAAGAGAAGCTGTTGTTTTAGAAGGAGGAGTTGGGAGATTGATCCTGGAAGCTTGGACAAGAACCATTTGAGTTTTCTAACACCAAATTTTGAGGGTTGTTCCTTGGGTGTGTCAGAGGGGAAGAAGGAGAAAGAAAAGGGGCATTGTTTTTGGGGTTCAATTCAATTTCAAAGTTTGGGGATTGTTGATCTCCTTTGGGTGTTCTGGAATGAAGAGATGCAAAGAAGTCAACAACCGGAGCTTAGTTTCGTAAGTCTTGCGAGTTTGGGATTGGTTGGTGGAAGTGTGAATGTGCTAATCTTAGGATTATGAGAACTTTAAAGGTAATGGATTGTCTAATTTCTCTATTATTACTAATAAATTTGTGTAATATTATTAAGTGGGCCCTTAATTATTTTTCAGAAAAAAAAAAAGGGAAGTTGTGGCCCAAATATCCGTAAAGTATCTGCTTTAATATATTTTGTTTAATTTATATATATTTCTTAACATTATTAATTTTTTACACTTAAACATTTGATTTATTAATAAATATATATATCATCTACTTAAATATTTATATTTTTCAAATATTCTTTTCAACTTAGTCTTTAAACACTTCAATTTTGTTCAATTTAATCCCTATATTATAAATTTTTATTCAATTTAATCTCTATAACATGACATAATTTTTTTAAAAAAAATTTTTTGATATGCTACATTAATATCATCATGTGGCACCATGGAACTAAACACATCAGTATGTCAGTGCCACATAATCACATCAAGGACACATGGCATTGTCACGTCACCACGTTAATGCCATGTGGCACTACCATGTCATCATTCGATGTTACTCCTTAAAATGTGCCATATCAACACAAACATTATCTCCTTTAACGATAAAATTAGATGCCATTAGAAGGAGAAATTAAATTAGAGTAATTCTCAAAATAAAGAGACTAAATTGTTTCAATTTTAAGTACATAAACTAAATTGAATAAAATGCATGAATATAAAGACTTAGTGGGTATTTTGACCTAACTATTGTGTTAGCATTTAAATATAATATTCAATAATATTTAATGTTCAGTTATTACTCAATATTAACATATAAATAAGCATTTTCATGAGTAAATAACATTTAAAATTGAAAACATATTATAAATATTTTGAAAATAAAATAATTGTCATAAATTTTAAGAATATTATTATATAACATGCAAAATTTATTACAATAATATTAACATTATAACATAATTATAATTGTTAAATCTTATTATTTAATCTATTATTATATTACATCAAATTATATACATTTTTATAATTTAGATATGTATCATTATATTATATTATGTGATAATATATTATACAATATTTAATATATTGTTATTGTATATTATATTTTTTATATATTGCAATAATATTATATATTTAGTATAATTATATATTACATTATTGCATTTAATTATAAACTTTTTAAATATTTTAACTATAATTTTTTAAAATTTAAAAGATAATTTAAAACAATAATAAATGAAAGATAATATATAAATAAATTATGAGAATAATATGAAATATAATGATAATATGGAGCATTATTTTATAATAAAATTTATATAGACGTTTGATCTTTAATAAAATTAAAAAATGTTGTAATACATACCAAATAAAGAAATAGCTTTTCATATAATATTACTAAAATAACAAAAAAAAATTATGTTTTTTAACATTAGGAACGGAGTATCTTGGTGTTTTACTTGACATTAATTCTCTCTACGAAAATCCTAAGAGTGCATTCTTGAATGTCGATTTAGTATACTTACAAAATATAGTTTCCTCCAAAAATTTATTTCTTGAATGTTACCGCCTAAAAAAATCTGAAATTTTTGGGGCAAAAAACTAAAAGGTAGACATGAAAGGAAAACTGGCTCTAAATAGTTAGGGTAAGCAAAATTTGATCAAAACTGTTTTAACCGAATTAATCGATTTGTATCGATTAATTCGAGTAAGTCAGGTTAGCTCAATTAAAAACCTTTAGAAGTTGGTTAACTGTGTTAATCGACTTTGAATTTAGTATATTTTAAACATTTTTCTTATGTGTATACACGCATACAGCTTTTCTACACTTATATATGAATAAGAGCTCCTATTTAATCATCAAGATATCAAACAACAAAAAATTAAAGTCATGAATAACATCATCATGTCTACATTTAAATTTCTAATGAAAAAAAAAATCAATTTATATAATAAATCTTTATTTAGGCATTAATATCATTAGTATAATCATATTAAAACTTATATAGAATTAAACATAATACAAAATATAATAAAAACTAGACAAAAATTTTAAATTATAAATATATAAAATTCCTAATGTAACTTATTGCATTAAGTTGTTAATATCGTAAACTTAATTAAGTTACCTATTAATATATTATACTATATATAGTCTATAGTATATTGCTATATGTACTTATTATATACTATATTTTAACATATAGTAATATATACTGTGTTGTAATGTACAATATATACCATATTGTTATATACTATTGTTTTTTTTTTAAGAATTACGCAATTTTTACTGCTGAATGTCATAGAAAAAGCTATGAACTTTTATGATTACAAAATAATACAATAAAAAAATTAGACAAAAACCCCAATCTTCCTACTTTCCCGATTTATAGATATCCGAGAACCACAATAATCAAAGCCGAGCCTCAATCTAAACCCGAGTCTCAATGCATACGCTGTGTAAAGAAACTACGCTCACCCATTGTATCGCAGGTTCCGACATGACATCTCACCTTTGTCTCCATATCATAATAGTGACCACTTGGTGGACCGGATCTCAATGAAACGTCGCCCATATATGCCCGAACAACTCTTGTCCTAAAATCAGCAATTATCCAATTCAAAACCGATTGGCCTTCAGCTGAAAACCACGTATCCTAAAGCTGTCTATTGTTGAAACTCCCGACCAAACAATTAACGTCTCAATTCAATTTTCCATTATCATTCCTGTTGATCCACTCACCCAATTCGTAAAGAGTACCAACCTTATTTATTGAAAGAGCATAAATTCTGGGAAAATCATGCTTAAGAATCAATCCATTAAGCTATCGATTCTGTCTATAAGACACTGATTTCTTATTGCAAATATTAAATCCCACATTAAATGTTACCTGTAAAAGAAATTTGTTAGTAGATAATAGAAGAGAAATAATATATTTTTAAATAAAAATGCATTTATGAGACACATTAGAGTTAAGAAAGAGGCGACGTAAATCGTAATTATTCTTCACTCTCATGATTTCCCTTCATAAATAGTCTCATTCATTGTTAAACTTCCAAAACCATTTAGATAACAGAGCTCTATTTTTAATCTCAAGATTTATATAATTAATACACTATATAGTATACTAATATAGTCAATAACATATATAATATATTACTTATTAATATACTGAGATACTATATATTAACAATATATAGTAATATACTATTGTTATATATAATTAAAATACTACATAGTATACTAATTAGTAAATAACACTTGTTACTTACTAATATACTAATATAGTCAATGACATATATAATATATTACTTATTAGTATACTAAGATACTATATAGTAATATATAGTATATATTAATATACTATATTAGTATTATAGTGTAGTATACACATTAAAAAGATTATGATTTATGAAAATAAAAAATAATTAATTTTTTTCCAAAACAAGGTCATATTAATCATAAAACAAATTCAATGCCAATATTTTTTCAGAAAAACTTATTAAATAAATTAAAAAATATTGATTAAATCGGTTTTAATTGATTCAACCAACTAAAGTTGATTAAGACATGAAATTCGATTAATTCAGTTACAATTTTAAAAAAAAATCGATTAAGTCAGTTAATTAGATATAAGTTGGTTGCAAGGGGAGCAGAATCGAAGACAAAAACAAAAAACAAAAGGCAAGTAGTGGGAATCTCCGTGCATTTTTCTCTCTTATGGAGTAACATCAGTCGTTGGCCCGCACTTGGCACGTTCTTTTTGTTTTTTTCTCTCTTCCTGTTTTATATTGGCAAATAATTTAAAATAGAAATTTATTCATAACCATATATTACATACAAAATTTAAAATAAAATAGCTTTGCATTTTTAATTTTTAATTTTAATTATATATGAGTCTATTAATTTTTAAAATAAATAATAAATTTAAAAATATAAGTCTTGTTGTTAATGAACCATCAATATTTTTATTAATTAGATGATGTGGTAATATTTTTAATACAATTTTACTTTACATTAATTTTAAAAATTAGTATTATATAAATTATATTTTTTATTTTTATTTTTTTTCCTCTCCTTTAAAAAATGAAAACTCTCAACTCGGTCACCCCACAGTTGACCACCTTGTGATCGATGGGAGTGTTGTGCTCCTCAAGAGAGTTATCTAGCATTTCATGACCAAGAGTAGTTGGTTGATGTAAGGAAACGAAGAGTGAAAAAAAAAAAAAGAAGACATTTTAAGCTTTTCACATTTAAGTTTCAAAACCATTTACAAGCTTAGACGAATTGTTTATTTTAAAAATTAATAAATTCACATATATTTATGATCAAAAGTTACAAACGTAAGGATATTTTATTCAAAAATTTATTAAATTTAGTAGTGTTTCTTGATTAATTTCAATATATATATATATATATTAAAAGAAATATATTTTACAATTGATAAAACTTCCATTGAAATATAGGTAGAGATGATACTTTTGTTGTACATGGGGAAATTTTCAAAGTTTAGAGGTACAAGATCCTTCAACATTAAAAGTTTGAGAAAAACAAAAATCATATGATTACTAGGTACAACAAAAAATATTTATGTCACACTAGCAGTCAACAGCCTACCGTATCATTTGCAACACAACTTTTCTAACAAATTTCTTATATATTTATGTTAATATAATTCAAAAAATTTATGTTCCAACATTTTTAAAAAATATATAAAAAAAGTATAATAGTTTTTAATTAATTAAATTGACAATTCATACAAAAGTGGTGGTGCCACTCATTTCAACTTTAGTGTTCCCACCAACAACATGCCTAGAGTCAATATAATATCCAATGCGTGTAGAGACCAATAGCCTTTGACCCAAAAAAAACAAAAGACCTATACTTGATATTTAATTGTTTAATTCAATTTATTCATGCATGCCACATGCTTTTGAGTTTTTGTAGATTAAAGAAAAATAAATCATAAATGAATAGGGATGGAATATTCATCTCAGTGATGGCAACCACTACCCCCAAAGAATAGAAAGGCATCATTTTGATAAAAATCACCATCATGTAGCCCCCATTAAGTTGCTTTGTATTTGCAAATTACACTCATCCACAATATAAAGTCCAAAAGTGCAATCAAAAAGGTACTCCAAATGGCTTAATTAAAAGCCTAAAATCATCCCATTACACAAGACTTTAGAAAGGACTACCACATTATTTCTTTCTAATCTTACTTTATACCCATAACAAAAGATTATAAAGAGAGAAAAATAACAAGTACTAAACAAGATAAAAAGCTTTAGACTCAAAAAGCTGGCATAGCAATGGAAATTGTCAAACTATATAAGTTTAATATTAGAATTAGTTAGTGAAATTAGCAACGGTGGCATGTGGCTCACAAGCTTTAGCAGCTGGGGTGGCTTCAACACCTGGGTTGGGCTCGACAGGCTTGCAAACCAGCTCTTCGGGAAGTTCACCAATGCCCTTCAAATAAAAGGTGTAGAAAATCTTGAAAGGGAAAACAATTTGCTGCAGCTTAACCTGACCGGTGACACCTTCAAAGATCCCCGACCCACCGGTGACAGCCAGATATGTGTCCTCGTAAGTCAAGTACGGCCCCTGCACCGCTATGTGACCGTAGTCTCCAAAGTAGAAACTGAAGATCGCCTCGTACCGGTCACCTTTCTTTTCCGGTTTGTGCTCGATTAAAATGCATATACCCGATGTTATTCCTATCCGTTTCTGCAGGTCTCCGGTATATATCTGAAATAAAAATTTAAAAAGGAAAATCATAAAAAAAAACCCTTATACGAGTAATATCATTTTGTACATTAAATATGAAATTCTTTTAAATTACAAATGCAAATATATAAAAAAAATAAAAAGTTGACATTGACAGCAAACAAGATTCAAAAGAAGCAATAATAGGAGTCGTTTGTTTTCGTCAGGAATTATTTTTGTCCTTTTCCGAGAAAGTGGTTTGTTTTAGTGGAAAAAAGACTGCAAGTTGCAACCAAACTTCTACTGAATTTTTCCCAAGAAACATACACTTACAATTTTCACCATTTTTTGACAGAAAAGTCCAATAAATTGAAGATCAAAATTCAACAACTACCAAAATTTTGCCTCTCTCTCTTTCTTTTTTTGTCTGTCAATTAATTTAGTGAAGAACTTACTTTGTTGCTAAAAGGGACAAGATCACCAAGAGAGTTAACAGGTTTCTGGCTCAAACGAAGATAAGCTGGACTGCCACGATCTCTCTCGTTGATCTCATAAACATATAATTCTTGAACTTTGCCTGAAAAAAAAGAAAACCCAAAAGGTTACTCAACAAGATCCACCTAAAAAACCAAATTAAATTGAAAAAAAATAAAGTAAAAAACTTGGTGGGTTTCAATCAAAATGGGGGAAAAGGGTGTGGAAATTACTAGGTGTTGAGTTATCAGAAGGAATAGCCTGGCTTTTGCAAGTGAAAGATCGTTTGGGAACTGAGAAAATGTTGCAGTTTGATGCAAAAAGCTTGTGGCTTTGAGTTAAAGATGGGTTTTTGATGAGCTTGAAAGATGGAGCTGGCAGCAGAGAATTGGTCAAGTTCGATGATGATCTGGGGTTACCTAGTTTCACAGGAGAAATGGTAGCTCCTAAAGCAGAGCTTGAGGCAGCCATTGCCGATGCTTTTTTTGCTTTTGCTTTTGTGAGTGTGATTGGGAAGAAAAAAAGTGAAGGAATTTGATGAGAAACTGAGGGGTAGTGGGAGTGGATTTATACAGAGGGGAAAAGAGTAGAATAGGGGAATTTTGTCATGTGGTTTTTGGGGTACGCAATGACGGTGCAACTACGCGTGAAGATAGTCAAAGGAGTCTTCAATGTACAACTGTTACGTGTGAAAAAGATGGTAAGAGGTTTTGTTGTACATATTTGTATATTGAATACTACACACGTGTTATTTCTATTCTTTGAATTTTACTTGGACGGAAGAAAGTTTGATTTCCTGCCTATGTATATTTTGGAAGGCACCGGCTAAAAAATGTAAATGAAATTAACGTTGGTTTATTAGAAACCATAACAACACATTTAAAAATCATATTTATTACTTTACAAAACAGAAAAAATAAAATCAAACACAATACTTAAAAAAATTTATAAATTTTTAAAAAATTTTAAATAAATTATTATTATTGCAATCAAGTTAATTTTTATCTTAATTAAATAAATTTTATAATTAATAATTAATTACTATTAATTAATATTATTCTATATTTTATATTATATAACTTTGACGTAGATGATAAAAAATGTCCCATTGTTATTTTATCATGTCATACTCCATTATCTCTATAATATTTCAACATACCATATCTATATTATGTATACTTAAAAAAATTTATAAATTTTTAAAAAATTTTAAATAAATTATTATTATTTTATTATATTCAATCAAGTTATATTTTTATCTTAAATTAAATAAATTTTTATAATTAATAATTAATTACTATTAATTAAATATTATTCTATATTTTATATTATATAACTTTGACGTAGAGATAAAAAATGTCCCATTGTTATTTTATCATGTCATATCCCATTATCTCTTATAATATTTCAACATACCATATCTATATTATGTGACATTTTAATTAACAACAATTAATCATTACAAATGAAAAATAATCCTTTCTCTCATCTTATAAATCTTCCCTCTCTTTAATGAATTTTAACTTTTATCATTACATTTCAACTTTCTTCAAGAATAATAGTCTTCCTGGCAAGGAAGGAATAAATAGAAAGCAGCTTCTGTACACATACAAAATAAGCCAGAAGAAAAAAAGAAAAATGCGTCGTTTAAATGATAAAATTAGTTTAAAAATTGTGTCTGTATTGATTGTAAAAAACAATCAGAAGATACATTTATGAAGGATGAAATAGTTTTATTATTATATTTAATTTTTATATAATTTTATTAGTTGATCAGTTAATATCTTTTAATATGTGAGATCAACTCGTACATTATATAGCAGTATGGATATTTTCTTAAAAATAATTGTAATGTATGATCATACCATTAGTTTTATATTATATTTTCTTTATATTGTACAATGTATAAATTCGTATATACTCGTCAAATGATAAAATCTCTTAAACTTAAATATTAATGATTTTTCATTAATATTATCTAACATATAAAAATTATAAAATGTTGATATATTTTTAAAATAAAAAATTATATTACGTAATGAAAAATTATCTTAATGTAAAGATTATGTCACACAAAATGACATTGTGTGATTATTGAATTATAAGTAAGTTTTTCATATGAATAATTATATTTCTTGATAAAATGATATATTAAAAAACCACATCTAAATTCAGAAGTTATTAGACAATTTAAAAAAATTACAATTTAAAAATTTGGATATGAAAAGTTATCTTTGTGTATATCGTAGTTCAAAGTTTATGTTTTATATAATGAATGGTTGTCTTTTTATAAAGTGATTATTAAAATAATATTTTTATCCAAAATTATGTTTTATAAAATGTAAAGGTATTTTTAAAACAAAAAAGTACCTTAATGAAAAGATTATATTTTTGACAATAGACACTTACAAGCTTATATAAAGAATTTGCTACCACTTATTTTAATACATAAAAAACAAATAAGATATTAGTAAAAAAATCTCGAGAAATAGAAGTGTTATGTTCTGAAATTAAACATAAACACTAGAGTTCTCATCATCTATTAAAAGAATTTAAATTCCTTATAATCTACTTGTTACAAAAAATAAATTATACGACTGAACAACTTTACGAACTATCAGGAGTATTTAAATGATCTATTTTTGTAAAAATATAAAAACGAAATCAAACGTTAATTTCATTATATTCCTAAAACTATTTGGGTAATTCTCTTTTTACATGTTGAGTGGTGGAGCGAAATAAGTATTAATGATAATATCTTTTAAAAAAACTCATCTTTAAATTAATTTTATCGATTCTTTAAATTTTATAAATTCTTTAAACAACTTATTGTCTTTGAATTTTTCACGAGAACAAAATAAATTTATAAATAAGGCTTTTGTGGATGAAAGGCAAAGCCAAGCAAAGTAAAACGCCGTAGCATTGTGCACGCGGTGTTTGAATAGTCGGAGCCGCCAAAGGGGAGCCGGTGACGGTGAGTGGATTCTGGTCGGAAGTAGATGTCAACAAAGACTTGGAAAGAACCTCAGTATCTTTTGGACCACGGAAATAAATAAATATTGGACAAGTTCATGTAAACTCCACCTCAATGGCTAAGGACAAGCTGCAAATTACAAGTATGGGTGTAGGTGGAGACCAAAACATATTGGATGCCAGAAAAGAAAACTCCAATAATTTAATTATATTCGAAAAATGTTTGAATATTCTTTAAAATGGAGGAAAATTACAAATAAATACTCAAAAAATATGAACTCAAATGTATAAAAAAATTTACAAGATTTCAAAATATAATTTGTCAAGACAAGTAAAAGAATATGGGTTTTAATTGTTTGGCATAATTAAAATAAATTTTCATTCAAGTCTTTATATTTTAGTTGTATTAAGTGGGCTTGAACCTATTATTTAATGTGAAGCAAACTTAAGTTGAATGGAAAATATTGGCATGGTTAACAATACAACTTATTCGAACATATAAGAGTTTTTTTGTTTTGAAAAGCCAACATATGTGCGTTAATTGTACTATTAATCATGTCAACGTTTTTTTTATCATTGTAATATGAAGTTGTTGGCTTTACTATTTTAATTTGAATGAATTTTACTTCAATTTTAATTAATTTAATTATTAATTTTTATTAAAAAACAATTTTAAAATAATTGATAACAATTTTTAAAATTTTGTTATTAATTTGAATGATATGACATTTTAGTGATAACCTGATCGGATAAATTAGATTAATTTTTCAACTACATGGCACATATCAATATTTTTTTTAAAAAAACCATAATTTATTTTAGTTTATAATAATTAATATTTTTTAGATTCTTAATCTTTTAGTATTTTTACTAAAGCAAAAAATTTTTTTAATATCAATGTGTCCCATGTGATGTGACAAAAGAATATAGATAGACGTATCACTTCTATAACAAAAAGACCACATAATTGACATGAACAATAAAAATTTCATTATCGTTATGAAATGTTCTTAAATTAACTTTTAATGAAAATTAAATTAATCAAAATTAAAATAATGGTCCGAATCTTATAGGTAGATTCAATTCTTCTTTTATAGTTACATGATTTTCCAAAAAAATAAAAATAAAAATATTTTTCAAAGTTTAAGAATAAATTAAAAAATTTAAATAAAAAATTAAATGATCCAAATCTTGAAGCATTAGTTTTACCAAAAGCCCAGTCTCGAATGGGTGGAAATGAGCGTTGCAGGACATGGGTCGCCGATGCCACAACTTCACCCTATCATTGTTTTGTTTTCCACAGTGGATCTGCACACTTTATTTTTTATGAGTAAAATACTTTATTATTTTTAATTTTTAATTATAATTATATAAAAATTTATTAATTTATAACATAAACACTCTATCTCAAATAATTAAATAATGTTAATATTTAAATTAAAATATCTAAAATATATATATTTTTTTACTTTTAAAAATCGATCAGAGATGTTCTCTATCCCGACTAGTTGTCTTGTGATTGAATTAGACTCAAATCTGATCGGATTTTCCAAAGAACTCTAGATTTAAGATAGCTGAATCTAATTTTGATCTGATCAAATTTCTCAAAGAGCACCAGATCTGACCACCAAGATCAGTGCTCTCCAAGGAGCACTGGACTGGAGCTCCTTATGGAGTACCATGTTTGGTGCTTCCCAAGGAGCACTAAGGGAGGTTATTTTTAATAAAAAAAATTAAAAAATAAAAATTATAATTTATATAATATGATAATTTTTAAAATTGATGAAGAGTGAATTTAACTTTTTAATATTATTATGTTATTAAACAAATAAAATATTAATAATGTATTAATGACCGAACTTACATATCTAATAAAAAATATTTTTTTGAGATTGATTATATATTTTAAAAATTAATAAACTTGTATAAGATTATATCTAAAGACTAAAGGATGAAGGTATTTTTTTAGTTACAAAAGCTCATCATTTCAACCATCAAAAGTAATAATAAAAAATTTAAAAAAAAAAACGGAAAAAGAAGTATCATCATTTCATCAAAGACAGCCAATTGTTTCACTTAGCTCCATCCGTAAAAGAAAATATCCCCAAAAATATAGATGGACCAGCAATAAATTCCAGTACAAATAGTACATCTCGTGGATCATATACACATTAATTTGTTCGTTCATAGACTTGATGTGGGCGAAAAAGAAAGGGGACCATCCACTAAGGCTTAAAAGATAAGCAAATTGCATGTGCCATGTGTGGTCTATCATCTATGCCCAGTGCCATTGTCGTTGGTCATGTCCAGCGGCAAATACCATGAGATTTTAATATGGGCACGTTTTGCTACTAGTATTATTAGAACATAATAATTTTATTACCGTATTTGATTAAGATAAACTTATTCTTTGGTATAATTGTGTTCATGTAAGTTAACAATAACCTTTTAATTTAAGATCAGTCGTAATATTTTATAATTTTTTTAACTTAGATTCTCTCTCTCTCTCTCTCTC